ATGCAGAGTTTTGGGCAGTGCAATGCGCTCCAATTTCTGCAATGAGCCCCCAGATTGATGGTCCCATGTGTGTTCCTCTCAGTTGCTGGTACGCTTGTCCATCAAAGCGGAAATAAGTGGTCATGCAGAGGTTCAAGAGCTCCCAAAATCTTTCAGGTCGTATGGCTTAGTTAATTCGTAAGTAGTTCCATCATTGTTTCTTCGGCTAATTGGTGACCGATTGAAGTGAAGAGTTCGGTGACATCGAATGAAAGCAGTATTTCGTCGTCTTCTATTCTGACACTCCGTAGTTTGTTAAGGAATTGTTCAGCATTGTTGATGCTATGCTCGGATCCATCAACCCAATATTCTAATCTCCTCCAGAAATCCTTCGCTAGTTTATATGATGGGGTTCCGGAGAGCGAGACAATTGGTCGTAGTGGAACTCCATCCTTGTGTAGTTTTGGTAGTCCATAGAACAGTGCAATATTCGTATCATCAGCTTTCATTCTCCATCTCTCCGTGGCGGTGAGATCGTTCTTTGTTTGTAGTTTCTTCAGCGTTGCGTTGATCTGATTGACCAGTTTTGGACTTGGATCTTGATCGACCTGACGATATGTAGTTGTGTCGGATAGCAGTTCTTTGGCCTTGTTAATATACTCCGGTTTGTCCATTATCACTGTCATGCATCCTTTGTCTGCTGGTAGGACTACAATGTTCTCGTCTTTCTGTAGACGTCTGAGTGCATCCTGTTCCTCCTTGGCTAGGGTCTGGGTGACTTTATTCCGAGTAATCACTGGGACAGCGGTCTGTTGTACCTGTTTCTGCGACTCCTCCGATAGTCCATATGATTTCAATGCGTGTTCTAAGCTAGCCAAGTAGTCTTTAGGTCAAGCAGCTTTGAGGTTGAAATGGAGCCCCTTAATCAAGACATCTTCTTCAGTTGCATTGAAGTGGTGGCGTGACAGGTTTTTGATCCACCCTTCACTGCTAGTGCAGTCATTTCTCTTAGTCAGTTTGTCTAACTTTGTGTTCAATGCAATCTTGCGTCGGTTCTTTGTGCTTTTGACTGGACGTTCAGTTGCGGATTCCAGCGCTGTTCGTAGCTGCGGGTCAGTAGTACTGAGGCAATTGGTTTTATTGTAGGTTATGACTTTGTCATATTTGTGTAGGCGGTTGTGGGCATCTGTTATCATCAGTTTGGCCATGCTTCTCCCGTATTGCCGTGCTACGTTTCAGGCGGCTAAACGGTTTACTGCCGGTCTGTGTGTTGTACTCGCTGGCAGCAGGTTCCTTCTCAGGCATTCATGAAGGAAGTAGAGTTGTTCGCGTGTGCAAGTTTGTCGGCAGGCAAAGGTTTCTCAACGATGCGCTTGTTGTAGCGTTGCGCGCCCGAATCGGTTGGCTATAGAATTGAAGACTTGTAGCTCACTTTGTTCAGATGGCGGTTGAACTGTTCGCTGAGCTTGGCAATTTCCTTGCAAACGTTTCGTCACCATTCGAGGTGACATCAACAGTGCGAAGTTGAGTGGCGTGGAGTAGCGTAGAGGAGTCTTACCTTCGCAGTCTGACAGTTGTTTAATTGTGACGTGTGATCCGGGACAACTGCTTTGGCTTTCTGCTCAGTGATGCCCATGCTTGGCTCCAGCAGGATGTGTCAGGTCCAAGTAAATTGCCATCCCAAACGTGATTGTGTTACGTAATCCGGACGCAGTGGGAGCCCCGTCACACACAAATACACAACACAGACAGAACTAATGCAGTGATGAGTAAAGGGTCAAACGTAACTGGGGTATGTCGAAATCGGGGAACTAGTACAAACATCAATATAAGTAACTGACCAAGAACCAGTGATTTTGCACTTCACTTCAAACTGTGCTCGAGAAAAGATGACTTATGCTAGTCGCTATAAACCACTGTCAAGGTCGTATATGTGTCTACGGCTAACTGACCACTTGGTTCGTCAGATATGTGGTGTATCAGGGCTGCATTATGTCTCCATTTCGCTTTAACGTTTGGTCGAAACCATGGTATGCCTATCCCATCTTCTAATTCTTCTGAGGTCTGGTTAGTTGTTCAGATACCAAAATTAGTGTGCACAGAGGATAGACCCCTTTGGATCGGATCGAGCTATCAACTAATCGAGGCTGAATAGACAAACGAGTCACGTCGCGTGCCCCGGTCTGAGCTTTTTATCGTCAGATTGTACAGTTAGGCCACAAAACTGGGTCGACTAATCGCCAGTTCTCCCTATCGTGAAACAGTTACCGAAAGCTGTTACGTACCTAAACAGCTGTATCCCCTGCGGCGGATGCATCTCCAAAGGGGTTATCACACACACTGCTAAAATTCGTGCAGTTTTAAAAGAATCAGTCACCTGTGGAAAAAGCGCAATATCAGTTTGTGGCTTTGTGGAAGTTAACAATGCCGGGGTATGACCAGTTGTACTGTGTGAATCAGAGTGCTGTGCACTGAAGACATTAAAGTATTGTTAGTGTTTGATCACCGACACCTGGTGAGAGCACAGAACGATCGATAATGGGGACTAGGATTTACGCTTGTTAACAGACTTCTGTCAAAGTAGCCCTCTCAAAATCAAAGCGATGTCTGGGGAATGATTCAAATCGGTTAATAAAGAACACTGAAAAATTTTATACGGTACATAAATCTTGATCATTCTTCACTGAAACTTGCTTTCAAGGGCTGACTCTTTCCAGCTATCTGACTGAGTTTATAGACTCGCGCTCATCGTTTCTTCACAGCTAGTTAGACCACTCCTAGTCGGTTCACTCAATCCTCGCAAATGTGAGCAGCTTGTTGTGTCAGCGGTGCTAATTGGCTTGTCACCTACTGGCTCTGTCTGTTTCGCTCGCTCGGTCCAGCAACTGTCATCACCTGATGTGATTTGCTAGGTACCATCACACCCCCTAGTGTCTGCAAAGGTTGAACTGCCCATCCTGTCGACGTATTTTCCTCAGTATGCCTGCTAGCCAGCTGTCTTGATTTGTATCACTAGACTCCACCCCGATCATTTGTGTGAATTTCGCAGCGGATCAATCGAGGACATGTCAGAGATGATGCGAAAGGACCTTACCTGATTTGAGGAGGGACAAAATCTAAAGGTCCAGGGGCTGCCATGCAGATTGAGCTTCCAACTGGATTTCAGACGTTTCATCCATCAGGCATAGAAAAGTTACACAGAATCAAAAGTGTTCCTGAATCTTTATCGTGGCCCCAGTTGCTAGTCAGTCGGTTCCGAGCGAATAACCATAGGTAGCAAATGAGTTTCTTTAAGCTACGAGGATTAGTTACAACAAAATAAGCATTAGATTTTCTCGAAGTACTCTCCACCAGCGTTCATGTACAGTTCCATGCGCAAAAAAACATTTGGAGAAGCAACTAGACCATACCGAAGCGGGTAACTCTTCAAGCAGCTCAATAAAGGCCTCTACTACAGCTTCTGTAGACTCGTAGCAGATTCCACGCATTATGTACTTGACATTTGGGGACGCAAAATGTCACACGGGACCAGGTCTGGAATGTAGTGTGCGTGACCAACCACCTGGAGGCGTTCTCTAGTCATAAAACCTACGACGACATGGGGCCTGTGTGCAGGTGTGTTGTCATGGTGTAGCAAGTTCTCCCGTGCTCGAGTCCTTGGACCACGCTTGGCTACAGTTGCCAGCACTAGTAGCAGACAATGGGTGGCATACCAGTCACAGGTGACTGTGCGTTGCGGTACGAGCGGTACAGTAGCCACAACACCGAGCTTGACCACGAACACAGTCACCATCTGCTTGGACACACTGCACTCACGCCGGCGCCCAACTAACGGCTGTCCACTAGGTCGATTGTTGCTTGGTTTCTGGGTCTAAGCTGTACACCACCACTGAGGATATCCCAAACAACATTGGAAAGCCCACCATCAAGCCTGTCAAGCCTGATGCGGCACCAATTCACCCGAGCTGCTTTCTGGTCCTCATTGAGCTGATGGCGTACCCAGGGTGTGCAAACATTTCCGAGGCCGAGGTTCTCATGTTGGATGGTGTGGATTGATCCCGATGGCTCTACCCAACAGTCACCCGCGCGTCCTCCAGTATCGCTTGCACAACAGCAATGTTGTCCGCTGTGGTGACCTCCACAAGTCGACCACACTGTGCCTCATCATCCAGGGACCACTTGAATTCTGTAAACCACTCAAACACGGTGATTTTGAAGGCGTATCATCACCAAACGCAGCAGGCGATCGCTCAACCCTCTGGTACTGCTTTAAACCACATTCGCAGTCATTGAAAATCATCCTCCTCCAGTGATATCGGCTGAGTTCCATATAGTCAGAGTATAGAGACTTTGTGAGCTGTGCTGAACTGCTGATATAGGGTTCAACGAGTTGGAAGCACTGAACAATGTTCAGAATGGATTACAGTTCCCATTTTTCTTGCCAGGTCATCTGTACCTAATGTGTGTACTGCGTATCCAGAAACTTACTGCTCAGCTCTCGTCTAGCTCACCTTTACCAACATGTGGATCTAAAACATGCAAACTTGATCGACCCTATTTCAGGGAAACAATCAAGACCGAAAAGAGTGTCAATCACCGTCCCCATTGTCCCTAGAAAAGTAACAATATTGAGTAGAATACATTTATACAGTCAGTTCAGTAGGGTGTACGGTGACTCCAACCGACCAGCACCATAAAAAAGACAAAATTACAAGGGTCACGGTGAGAAAGCGGCGGTAAAAGTATCATCATTATTGCACGGTAGGGAAATTGAACACCATGAAAGGAAAGTTGGTGGTGATAAATGCGAACGACGTTAGACGTTAGTGAAAAGGTAGACGAAGATGAAATCAGACAATAAAATCTGGCCAGATCGCAGATGTGCACTTTGAGCGACAAGGGAAGATTACGCCAATTGGATACTTTGAGCATAGATGATGATTGACAAAACATCGGGGGTGGGTGGGTTGCAGACAGAGGGGGCTTAGTTGTTGCACGTGAATCAGAGTAACGAGAAAAGATCAACGTTCAGGAGGGGCGCTGGGAACAGCAATAGAGGTGGGACATGATGGCCACGAGCCGCCTCCAGACGAAGGTCTGGAGGATGTGCGCTGACCATTGGTAGGGTCGGTCTTGAAGCCAAGTTCCAGAGTGCGTAACGGGATGATGCCTTGCATGCGCATGTAAGACACCAGCTGATCGGGAATCTCGGCTAGAACCGCTTTGGACAATCGACGCTTGCTTTCCTCCACGGAGTTGGCATCGTGAAAGTCGCGGAAGGGAACGAACTGAAAGGGACGTTGGATATAAGGTAAGTAGCTTGGTTAGCCATTAATTATCAATATAGTGGATTAAAGGGCCTAGTTTGGTAATAGACAGCAGAGAAAACGTGACTTTCAACCGTCACGAGGCTCCATACAAAGTAAACGGGATGGGTGCGAGTGGATTAGATGTGCGTTCACCGAAAATCCTAAAAGACATTAGCAAATGAGGAGATAATGTAACATAGTAGCAATGTGTGTTGAGCGTGTCGATTCGGCTCGCCGAGGAAAATCGTTACAGCAGTTGGCCTGATTAGGCCAACAGAACGAGCAGATGAGAGGAGACTAGTGCGCACAAACGCGCAAATGAAATCGGAACATGTGGAGGCTGGGTCGATGGGGCCAGTGTGCAGATACGCTACTTTTGCTAAGACCACAATATGAAACGCCTCTCACAAAGTGTCGAAATGAATTTCAGACCGTTTGGACAAGTCAACATGTGTCTTGCAGCACATTGTATAAGTAAATCAACCGTGCAATTTTATCGCTGTCTACTACTGTAATGCAGTCATATCTTCGGGCTTTTGCTGCCCACTTAGTTAGTAGGGTAGAAATGGAAATTGGCGAGTTTCAAGTAAGTTCCCCGTAACAAGTTATTGTTAACTAGCTACCATACTACGAGAAAGGTTGTAACTAGTCCTTTCATTCTATCGGGACCCAGGAGCAACAATAGATTCATCCGAATACCTTGGATTTTGACTCATGGCGACACAGATTTCAGGTCAGTGTCTCGTGTTGTCAGACAATAGACGATACACTCCTGACCTGATTTAAAGCTCGCGATTTACTATTGCCATACGGGCCCCCGTAGTGTGGATGATAGGGAGGATCTCTCCAAAAGCCGACAACACATTCTAAGCAGAGTAGGGCACAAATACCGATTTATGGGAACATAGTGCGGGGAGTTAAAGAATGTCAGAACCGCCAGAATGCCAAAACTTGGCCCGCGCTACTACGTGTCCGTATTCAGTGTCACCTCCAAGTTGTATTTGCTAGTCTGTTGGAGTGTCAAACCCCATGATGGACAGTTTTGCAAGCAGTGCTAAGCTCTCACCAACTCCTTGAAATGATCGGCTGAACTATCGATCGATAGCAATCATTGGCCACAAACTGTGTCTCGGAGTTGCTCCGGTGAACAGAGAGGGGCATTAATAATTCATGCGAAGAGTACGTGGTGTACTGGTATCATCACCCGAAGGGGAGGAGGAAGTAGCTGCAATTTTATGCGGTTGTCAACAATATGGAAATCACTCTGCGTGCGCCCACGGTCAGCAGTATTCGTTTTCGGAGTTGGTTGTCAATTCACAGGCATACAGTTGCAGAGCGACTGTGCTCACACTGGACTGTAACACGGACAAATTAAGCCAAAATGGGCATATCGGAAGGGGAGAAAAGAGGAGGTATGACCATAAGAGAGACGGCCCAACCAGTATGCAGTTCGGTTACACAACAGTGATTTGGATACAAAATGCTGTGAATTCAGCTACCACATCTGGCTTCGCGATGAAAAATCAATCAAAGTAGTGAGGGAAAAGAGCTGCGGCGTAAGCAGAAGATGGAAAAGGGGATTAGGAAAGCGGATAAACTTAATCGGGATGGGTCATTGTCGGCTAGTTGCGCGGAACCGAATTCAGAAGCGCTACTGATTCCGCCCATCCACGATAGTGGCACGCGTTAGACTAATCATGCATCTTGATTAATGTGCTCATGCCCTCGTGGTACGTCACCGAATGGTAACCTCGCAGTTTCGCCCGATTTCCTGTGGCGAGAGCATATAGTGTCGATTGAGAAAGCTGGTCGACCGGCATACGGAAGACATGACCCGGTTAACGTAAATGGTTCAAGTGTAAAGGGCAATCTAGTGAGGCATCAGAGGGTTCTTTGGAAAACACCAACCGATGGACCTCAGTGTTGCTCAGCCGGTGTTGCAGCCAGATGTCAGCAATATCCCGAAAGCACCGGTGCTCAAAGACGATCTGTATGTTAATGTCTTAAGTGGTAAGTGACCAGGTCTCTGAGCCATAGAGTAACACCGGTCTCACCGCAGCGTTACATACCGTAAAATAACTGAACTGGCGATCACCATGGCACGCACTGCCTGTCCACGGAGAGCCAAGCCCAAAGCATCGCAGCTGAACGTTTATTACGGAAGCGATTTTAAGAATGCACGAACTGGAATAGAAAGCGTTAACTGTTGTAAAATGTCCATCATCAGTGCTGGCTCCGATTCCTTTTGGTTCCGCACTAAGTGCATGGCTATTCTAATCAGCAGATGTAAAGTGACTCTGATGCAGAAGTGCACCAGGCTGGCAGGGATTGTAGACCGAGCAACTGCCGAAAGATCTGCCGCACTGGACCTAAAGGGATCAGAGTCTCGAGATGGATGTACAACATCAAACTCCAATTCGGAACAGAGCAGCAAAGACGGGCATGAGAACAATGCCCAAGAGTTGGGTACGACAATCACGCTGACTTCTGCCACGGTACGGTGGGCCGCTTCTAATGATTCGCTCGGACAGAACAGTTCATCAAAGCTTCGCGGCACATTCAACACTGCTGAGAGAGCAAAAACATGGGCCTCCATTGTTACCAACCACATAACAGAGGCACCGTCCACCATAGCTTCGATCGCTGCCAAACTAGGAGCAGTTATGGCCACCAATACAACCAAGGGATCTAGTATGCCACCTGTTGTCTGACTAAAGAAAACAGCCACAAACTCCAACAAAAGGAAGAACATTAGAGTGCATCATAAATCTCATACTGTTTTATGCTCGAATGTGTCTGAACCCCAGATAAACCCCACCAAAGGAAAGCTGCTAAACGACGAGAAACAATGGGACGCCATGTGTAAATTAATTGGAGTCCAAGCAAAGCCGTCCAGTATGATGCGCCACGTCCGTCATCCAACCTCGGCAGCCTGTGGTGAACCACGAATAATCCAAGTACCGCTTCAGTCAGATGATGCAGAGGCCGTTCTATTATCAGCCACTCGCTTCCGAACAACTCAATGCACTGTTCGCATTTATCCAGATGTTCCATGGAGCGAACGCCAGAAACGCAAATTAAACGCGGATGACTACCGCTACCAAAAAGACGTAAACTCGCTCCTTGTCCCAGCGAGCTAGAAGCTCAAACACATGACTGGGATGAATGGCCCTTCATCCGTGAAGTACTCGAACTCGAAAATGTGATTCCCATTTCGAGCACCGGGTTACAACTATCGCCTAACTACAGAAGGCGCGGTCCACGTGTGATAAAAGGAACATTGTAAACCAAACCATGGAGGAAAAAGTGATAGAAACGTGGCTAAAATGCGCAAGAAGCTGCCATCCGAAATACGTATAAAGTCGAAAGACACCAGACCACAAATCGTTGACATAATGCTGAATCTGCAGTCCCTGTGTGAGACCCCGTCAAGGTGCCGCTCAGAATAGGGATAAAGTCAAAACTATCCGTCAGCTGAAGGAAAGCTAGGTTTGCAGCCACCTGTCAACGCTGAGAACTCTACATGCCAACCTGGAATTGCTCCGAGGTCAGCGATTAGGGTACAACAAAAAACGACCGACGGACGCCCCAATAGGTAGGCAAAAACTCCCACGCAGAAGCCACATCCACAAATACACTGCTAAACTCTGAGGCCCTCAGTTGCTTCCTCAATAAGTTAACCGAGCTTCGTACTCGTCAGGCTTCCACTTCTTGAGACAAAGTCATGATAACTGAAACGTGGCTGAAAAATGAGATCACTGATGCTGAGATAGCCCCGCCTGGCATGACTCTCCTAAGTAACGATCGATCCAGCACAGGATGCGGAGTGCTCTTGTAGTACCGAGATGACCTGCATATTGATATCATCGACCATCCAGGTATGCAAGCGGTCGATTCTCTCTGGTGCTGCCTGCACCTGAAACGTGGTGATGTGTGCTTACTTGCAGTAATTTACCGCCCTCCCAGACCCACTCTGGAAATGGATCACCGCATGGCGCCTGCTATGAAGCGAACCCTGGCGCGGTCACAGAGTCACGTCCTTTTGGTTGGGCGTGGGCTTCAACAGGCACGTAAGCGAAGTCCCAGCTTCGCTAAGCGAACAATTCAAAGGCGATCTGTAAGAAGTAATTACCGACATACCACTACACAACCTCGTCACCGCTCCCACGAGACTCAAAAATCACGACAAACCATCTATCCTAGACCTTGTGTTTACCAAGGAGGAACTAACGATTGATGCAGTAAATATAAATGCACCGCTCGGTCGTAGCGAACACGCGACGCTGCTTTTCCTCTTCATCTGCTACGCGGAATACATCTGTGAAAGCAGCGAGGTAGTTCACGTTGTCACCCATTAGGATGCACTCTCTGACCTCGTTCAAGAAACCAAGTGGTCCTTCCGAGCTGAGCAGCCTCCCGACGTCGCCTGGAAGTAATTTATTACTTTGTTCACCGGGCAAGTGACAGAATTGTCGGAAACCAAAGTCTTTCGTCTGAAGCAAACGAATTCCTTCCTGAGGAGCCAGACACGAAAATGCATGGCTATAAGAGATTCCGCCTGGAGCGCTTATAATGCCCGCCTGGATGCGTAGGGCTGGGATGCCTACATAACTCAGCGAAACCAGTGTGAAATTGATCCGCGAAGACATACTCAAACGTCAATAGGACTTGGCGCGGAGATTCAGTACCCGGAGAGTGTAGCGCGGAATACCAGATCTACCCACAGTAGATAGTCTGGTGCTCACTACACAAGATGCGGCGAAACCGCTTCGGCAACAGTTCACCCACACTTTCCAAAGTGAAGCATCAACCCTAACCATCCTCTACACAGCTCACTCCATTCCCAGGATGAAGCCACGTAATCTTCACTGCTGGGAGTGTGATGAAAAGCTACCATCCTTGCGCGTGCACAATTCTCCTGGTGTGGACAACATCAGACTGAAGGCATTAAAAACAGTCGCTATGAACCTTGAGGAACC